TTTTTTTTTTTTACTGTCTTCTGCGCATAGAAATATTAATACTTGGTATATCAGTATTTGCAATGTATAAGTATCCTGAATTGTGTCTTCTGTAATTGGTTGCTTTTGACAGAACATAAAAGCTTCTTATCTGTGTACAGTGAGAGTAATCATGGTGCTCTAGTCATTTGAGGACATCTTATAAATCAGATGTGTGTTACCTCAGAAGAGGTGTGTTGTGTGCAAATGTCTATAAATTACTGGAAAAGATTGTGTGGGAGTATCTGAATATGGGGCATAATGATAAAGACTTGTTCTTGCTGCTGTTTTCTCCAGTATCTTGTTGACTGCGATGAAGTGATCTTCATGAAAGAAGGCTGCATTACTGAGCGAGGAAGTCATGAGGAGCTGATGAATTTAAATGGAGACTATGCAACTATTTTTAATAACCTACAGCTGGGAGAAACACCACATATCGAGGTGCTTGTTAGTTTATTTTAAAATGCTCTCAGTAATAACTCTTCTGATGAGGTGAACCAAATGATGTAGCTGGAAGACTGGAAAATGGCTTCACATAGTCATTGATGTGACCAATAGATTTGCTGTAGAATAATCTGTGCTTAGCACTTCCTTTTTGCAGTCACAGTTGGTATTTGGGGAATACGTAGCAGAGAGGACTCTGCCAATGAGTTCATGAGTTGAACACAAAAGCGATGTATCGTCTGATGATGCTCAGAGCAGGAATCTTGTTCTCTCTTTTATTGTACACCCCACTTCTTAACTTGCCCCTGAATTAGCACACACCTGGACAAATATTTGTCTGAACGAATTTTTACTGGTTTGTTAGTTCTTTTTCAAACAGAGCATGACTGAAGCACAGGAAAAGTGTTGCAACTTGACAAAAGTTAGATGTGACAGTTTTGTGAAAATGTAACTGAAAATGCTTTGTTTTTTGGGGGGAGGGATTTGAGAAAAAAACCCCACACTGTTGCTTGATGCTGTTATGAAATAATGGCTGTAAATGCAAGCTTTGTGCTCGAGTATTTTATTCAGTGGAAAAAACTGTAAATCTAGAAAATACAAGAACCATTCAGTAGGACATGCATTTAAATTTTCAGCAATTTATTTTTTCCCATCTTTCTTTTGTTTGTCTCCTGAAGTTATTCTTTGGAATAAGTAGAATCATAGAATGGCCTAGGCTGGAAAGGGACCTTAGAGATCATCTAGTCCAACCTCCCTGTTGGGGGCAGGGACACCACCTCTCGACTAGACCAGGCAACACGTGGGGACCGAGTGGGAATCGAACCCGTGACCTCGGTGTTGGTCTTTGTTGTCAGCACCGCGCTCAAACCACTGAGCTAACCGGCCCCCCTCTTTACTGCTTTTTATTTGATGATCATTTACTTCTTGAAGTGTTGTGTGCGTTTTCTGTTAAGAAGAGATTAAAAAGCACATCAGCAGTTTATTTTTTTAGAAGACGAGAGGCTTGTGATAAATATACAGATCTGGAAGGTACTTGGTGCAATCTTTCTCTTGGGAGGTGTTAAATTAAAGAAGCAACACAGTATGTTGCATTGACCTGCATATCTGTTCTGGGGCATGAAGATTATAGTTCTGCTGATCTGTTCTCGGATCAGTGTAGTGACAGTTAGCAGTGAGGTTCCTTGGCTGACCTTCACTGTCTCCCTGTAAGCACTCACTCATGGAAGGAGTGTTAGTTTGCATTCCCAATGGGATAAGGAGAAATAGATGGTCAAGTTAGATTCTCTGTGGTTTGGTACACGTGAGATGTCTCTTCTCATGTAAAGTGTGGGAAGAGGACCCTGAAGATCCTGTGTAGGGGGTTTCAGTTGGTGTAGGCTCTCTCTGAGCAGGTAGCAACTTCCATGTGTGGGAAGCTGGCTGGGTTTGGAGAGCAATTGTGTATGCAGCTCAGTGGTTGGCCGTTTGATTTGTGGAAGACCAAGTTAGCCTGACTTTGTCCTAGAGATGTTTCCGGAGAGCTTTCCTGAGTGGAGTACTAAGGTATTTGGGGGGAAGGAAAAAAAAAAAAGAAGCCTCTTAATAAAATTAGGAGTTATTTTCACAAAGGGACAGGGGCATTGCATCTGAGTAGTTGGGGTGTCATTCCTCTACCATGTATGCACGTGATGTCACTGATTCTGTAAATTAACTTGCACACTACCACTACAGATTGGTAGAAGTTCAGGTTAATAGAGGAAGATAATTTAATCCACCAGAATCAAACATAAAACTAATGAAGTTAATATCCTCCTTGATATGAATGCTGAGCTACTGAAAGCCTTTGTCCTTAGGAGGCAGTTTATAAAAAGTTTGGATTCAGGTATGAAAATGTCAAAGCAAATGACTCCAGTATGTTTTGTGTCATTGTTCTTCTACAGATCAATATAAAGAAGAACACAAACAGTTCACTGAAAAGACCCCAAGATAAAAGTACCAAAACAGGGTCTGTGAAGAAGGAGAAAGTTGTAAAGAAGGAAGAGGGTAACTATGTAATCAAATTTCTGGCTATAATTATTTTATACACCAAAAGCAAATACTTTGAGCTTACTAGTGTATTATGAATGTACCTCTCGGGTTTTGAAAGCTCTCTCAAGTCCTGGTTGCTCGGTGTGGTTGGTAGGATGCAGACAGTGGGCAGAGAACGTTCATTAATTAATGAAACGTGGGTGCATGCACAATGTTTTTAAGTTTGATCAGGCTGCTGCTGGTCAGATGCTGCTGGCATGAAGGAGCTTGCAGTGCCCAGTTTCCCACACCACCTCTCCCTCCTGTCCTAAGGACAACATGTACAGATGGTACTTGCAGAGCCCTAGGCAGGATGTGGCATTTGTGTATGAAAAATTGGAAGATCTGACCTCTGTTTAATGTGAGCATTGAACTTCAGCAGCGTTTAGAAAATAATAATACCAGCCTTGTGTTTAAGTCTGTGCTGGTTTACATTTTTCCAGAAATACCGTGACATGAATGATTATGCAAAGGAAATGTGACTTTTTATTAAACTTTTTGAACGTATTAATGTCTGCATTTCTGAAAGTACTCGGCGTGGTTTGAAAATGACTGTAGTTTTGTACATGTTCACAAACTTCCACAAGTTTCATGGAACAACTTTCTTTTCCTCGCTCCTTCCTCCTTTGTTTCACAGGCCAGTTGGTCCAGTTGGAAGAGAAAGGCAAAGGCTCAGTCCCCTGGTCTGTTTACGGTATCTACATTCAGGCAGCTGGAGGCCCCTTCGCGTTCCTCGTCATCATGGCCCTGTTTGTGCTGAACGTGGGCAGTACAGCTTTTAGCAACTGGTGGCTGAGTTTTTGGATCAAGCAAGGCAGTGGAGTAAGATAAATGGCTTTTTTACTCTGTTGTGTTTTAACAGGCAGGGAATTGCTCTCCTAGATTAATCCCAGGCAGTCCTATGAGACAAAATGGTGCTTCCTAGTTTCAGCAAGTTGTAAGGCTCCCCAAGAGGTGGATCTCACTAGAGAGTTCATCTCCAAGAATTGAGAGCTCCACTGATAAGAAAGATATAATAGCTCATGTGGTTTTGTGCTGTCCTCTTGTTTCTTGACTTGGTTAGTCTAAGGAAAGGAAGTGAAAATGTGAAAGGCATCAACAAGCTCTAATTCTAGGGCTATTTTTCATTTGAACATGACCTTATATCTAACAGGATAATCTTGTTAAAGTATATGGCTTTAAGTCAAATAACTTCTGGGAGTTCCTTTGAAGACTGTGATGAGCTAGAATGGTTTGGGACTTTTCCCACTCTAGGGGCTTTGGCAAATCTTGTTGTGTTTAAAGATTCAAATATAACTGCAGGATTATTTTTTGGGGGTGAGGGGAGCAAAATGCTAACCTTGGAGAAGAAATAATGAAGTGCAGATGGCCAACAGTTTTAAAATTAAGCAACGAGGTCCTTAAATATACTTAAAGATTAAAAAATAAAAGTAAAAAGCGAACTGAAAATTCATGATAGTGTGACGGTAAGGAATTTGCTGCATACTGGTAGAAAATAAAAACAGCACCGTATTTGATAAGAAGGACATTGTACAACTTATCCAAGGTGTGAATACTGCTATGTAATAGGAGTGGTGGTATGTGAGTATCTGGTGGTGATCCGAACAACAGAAGAAATTATAAGCAGGAAAGGAGAGATTAGGAGTAAAATGAAGTAAGTGATGTGGTATTATCTTCAAAAATATTGTAGGAAAAAGGCCAAGGACTACAAATCTGCAACTCAGGTGTATCTGCTAGGAAGAACTTCTTGAAATTTTCAGAGGTTGTTGAAGTACTTTATTTAAAGAAGAAATCTCAAATATGGTGGGAGGGGACAGAGGACAGTTAAATTTCGCCATATGGACATGATTAATCCTTATTTTAACTATCCATTGAAACCTTGAATTTTCTGCAGAACACCAGCGTGACTTTGGGAAACGATACTGTCATAAGCAACAGTATGAAAGACAATCCTCACATGCATTACTATGCTGGCATCTATGCGCTGTCTATGGCAGTTATGTTGATCCTGAAAGCTGTTCGTGGTGTTGTCTTTGTAAAGGTATGTGCCAAGGCTGCTGGTTTTTCTTATGTCTGTCCCCCTCCCGTTGCCCCTTGTGCATACTGCTGTCACCATGTTCTTTTGGTCACCTCCCAAGAGAGGTTTTTGAATGAGAGGAAGTCAGATCACGGATTGTCAGGTTTCCTTAAGTCATCTCTTGGGGCTGCATCATGCCTTTTGTCAAACTTCTGCCCAAATTAATAGCTTCCTCCCACTGGTTGGAAGCATGGAATGCAAGAAATAAGCATTACAGTTGGAGAGAGAAAAGGAGCAGAATGTGTTGGTCCCCAAGGGAGGGGCAGTGACAGGAAGGCAAACATCCTTTCATAATGCTGCAACGTTTTCTGCATTATCAGGGAACTCTCAGAGCATCCTCAAGGCTCCATGATGAACTCTTCCGACGGATTCTGCGTAGCCCCATGAAGTTCTTTGACACTACACCCACTGGTCGGATTCTTAATAGGTTTTCCAAAGACATGGATGAAGGTATCTCTCACTGCATGCGCTGTAAATTCCACGTGCAGACCTCTAAGTTGCCTCCTTAGTACTCTCCAGTCTCTTGCTGTTGGGGACATCGTACCCTGTATGTATTGCCAATTGTGGACTCATAATAGCCGAAGCAGGAGTTGGGACATACCTGGTTATGATTCTAGAAGGCAGCTGATACCTCAAGTCTGTTCGCTTATAAAGATGTGCTTTTCTGCCTACTGACTGCACATGGACTCAGCAGACCCTTAGCAGTTAATGCAGGGAGAACCCTGAGTTTCAGAGTAAGTTCATGTGCATCGAAGGTGGAAATTAGGTCAGAGCTACATCAGGGCTGTTTCTGCAACTGGGAGTAACTGGAAAGACTACTAGCATCTCAGAAGATAAAAGCACCCCTAAGGAAAATGTACATTTTAAATTTGTGTAAGCCATGAGAAATTTCTGCCCTCGATGATGATGTACAGCTGGACTGAATTGCTTTATACACGTTGTTTTAGCTTTCTGTACTCAAGATCTTACTCTCTTCCATCCATCTTTTCCAGTTGATGTTCGTTTGCCATTTCAAGCAGAAATGTTCATCCAGAATGTCATCCTTGTGTTCTTTTGCGTGGGGATGATTTCTGGAGTTTTCCCCTGGTTCCTGGTTGCAGTGGGGCCCCTCATTGTGCTGTTCACAGTTCTGCATGTTGTGTCCAGGTAAGCGCATCATTTGCTTTGACTAAAAGTAAAAATACATTGATCTTTTAAGGACGTAGGGTTCTTTAAGTATGTATGCCTCAACATGCGTATCATTTAAAAGTGCTTCTTTGCTTCCAGAGTCTTTATTCGAGAGCTCAAGCGTCTGGACAACATCACACAGTCTCCTTTCCTGTCTCATATTACATCTAGCATCCAGGGTCTCTCCACAATCCACGCCTACCACAAAGGACAGGAATTTCTGCACAGGTCAGTGTAGATATCTGTCTGAGAGGGGTGGAGGTGCGCAAGACAGGGTGCAACAGGTTTACGTTTAGAAAGGTTTGTTAATGGGATCTGTAAAGCTGATAGCATGCATTGGCTCTAGGAGTGGAAGTTAGTTTTTGGGTGGAAAAAGTGAAAAACAGGGAAGAGAAGGGTAAGGGAGAACTCCCCAGTATCTAACTGGTAAGAACAGTGGTAGGGTCCCAGGTGAATGCCCTCCTCTGGAGTTCTCTGCAGTGCAGCAAGTAGCAATGAGAATGGTGAGGACAATTTTTTGGCCATACTTTTTCTCTAGCATATAGTTTTCATCAGGTCCTCCTCATACTCTCTGTTGGTTGCTTCTCCTTGTTGATGATATTGACATAGTTTAGAGCAGGCCAACAAAACCTCAGTGCCCGTAGCGTTGATTGCTGTGCACGTGTGCAATTGGATGGCATTTATCCAGTATTTAAGTGACTGCTAGCCACCTTGTGCACTATGCTTGGTTTGCTCTAGTATAAACTAAAATCTGCACAGCAAATGTTGGTGAGGGAAAGTGAATCATTTCTCACATGCGTGGTAGTTGCTTCCTGTGAGAACTTGCCAGAGCAGTATCAGAGTTTTGCAGGTGTGAGGTTATGAGACCAATAGCATGGGAGCACAGGGAAAATCGCCACAGAAGCTCTGTGAAGATGCTGCTGCACCAGCTTAGGTGAGAGGCAGCAGAGGTGCAAAGAGCAGTCCCTTAGCACTGCTGGTGCTAGAGCACTGCCTGCACTGTGCAACAGCGATTGGTGTAAAACTGCGTGGAGTGTTCAGAAAATCTAGTTACGGGCTTTGTGAATCTCCCATTAAATATACTTTCTCACTTCTGCAGTGACAAGCTTGAAAATTAAGTGGTTATTGAGGTGTTCTAATTAGTATCACCAATCCTACCGAAACTTACTGTAACTTTACTTTTATCCTTGTGTATCAAATAACACCTATTCTGTGCATGTTGCAAAGCACTGTTGCAGTTACTCATGGAGTAATTTGTAGCCATTGAGTATCCTTGGGAAGGTCTTGTGTAGGTGAACTTGCGGTGGCAGTGTGTGTAATGTCCCTGAATTTCGATTCACCCAATGTAACTTACTGTACACAGAAACTTGGTAATTTGACTCCTTAGATTTTAAGCTGAGTAAATATGTCATTATTCAGGAAAGTTTGTAAACTCTACTTTCATGACCTGGTTTGAGACTTTGTCAGTGATGGACTAGCCTTCCCCACCCTGAATTCTGGTATTGGAACAGGGTTTTAAGTAGCTCTGCTATTTGTAGAACACCAAGACCGTGAAGGTCCACTAACCTTTCCTGTGTTCGTTCCAGGTATCAGGAGCTCCTAGATGACAATCAGGCCCCGTTTTACCTGTTCAGCTGTGCGATGCGCTGGCTTGCTGTACGGCTGGACGTTATCAGCATCGCTCTTATCACAACCACTGGCCTCATGATTGTCCTGATGCATGGCCAGATTGCTCCTGCCTATGCTGGGCTGGCTATCTCTTATGCTGTGCAGGTGAGTATGTCCATGTACTAGAGTATGTGATTTCTCACTTCATGTAGTTACACTAAGGAGTAAAAGTAACACACCATTGAAAACTTTCCTTAATGCACTAGAATGGACAGAGGTACTGTTACTGCTTTTGGTAATGGGGAGGAAAGCAATTCAGAGTCCAGACCTTTTGCTAGAAAGTAATTTACAAGTTAGGAGGATTTAGGTGCTTAAGGTTATTGTTTTGGGGACCTGCCTTCCTCTTAAACAATGAAGTAGAAACCGTTTGAGGCTGAAAATAGCAATTTTGCTGGGTATTTCCGGAAGATGGCTTGATGTTACATCAGACATCTGCCAAACTGGTGTCTTAACGCATTGCCTGCAGTACGTTTGACAGTGTCCATCCAGCATTGCTTGGTGCAGATTAAACTGGCTCCGGGCAAAGATCGCTTGCTAGAAGAGCTGTTGTTTGGCCTTTTCTGCCTCCTGGTGGCACTAATTGACATGACAGAACATAGGCATTTAAACTGGACTGCTGGTTTTCCAAGTGATTAACAAAAATCTTAACTATTAACTAAAATTAACTTGCCTTAGGTTCCTTAGCTGTATGGTGCTCAAAGGCAAGAACTCTTGTATCAAATGTCATAGAATCATTTAGGTTGGAAAAGACCTTTAGGATAAAGTCCAATTGTTAACCCAACGCTGCCAAGTCCACCACCACTAAACCATCTCCCTAAGTACCACACCTACATGTCCATTAAACACCTTCAAGGGTGATGCCTCCATCACTTCCCTGGGCAGCCTGTTCCAGTGCTTAACAACCCTTTCAGTGAAGAATCCTAATATCCAATCTATATCTCCCCTGGTGCCACTTGAGGCCATTCCCTCTTGTCCTATCACTTCTTACCTGGGAGAAGAGACTGACACCCACCTCACTACAACCTCCTTTCACGTAGTTGTAGAGAGTGATCAGATCTCTTTATTGCTCTCCTTTTGGACACACTCCAGCTCCTCAGTGTCTTTCTTGTAGCAAAGGGTCCAAAACTGAACACAGGGTTTGAGGTGTTTCCTCACAAGTGCCGATTACAGGGGGAGGATCACTTCCATAGTCCTGCAGGCCACGCTGTGTGTTAGGATCACCACTTAATTCAGTAATAAATCACAGCTCTCTAAATTCGTCTTTGTTTTCTTCCATCACTCCAGTTAACAGGATTATTCCAATTTACGGTCAGACTTGCTTCAGAGACAGAAGCTCGCTTTACCTCAGTGGAGAGGATTGATCACTACATCAAGGTAGGACAATAATACGTTCAACAGCTTGTTGTAAAATCTCTTGTTGCTTGTTATGTTGCTGGTGTAAGAGAAGACAAAGTCAGCCATAACCTGCCTTAGTGCAGAATATATGTTCCTGATCTTGTTACCGCACGTACCATAATACTACAGGGTGAATTTGTTTTATGAGCATGTGTATAAGCGTGCTGGTAGGTAACTAAATTTACAGGCATCACTTGCTTGGCATCACTGATGTTATATGAGGATATTGAGAGTTTACTGACACTCTAAATATAGAGCGGAGAGTGTGAAACAGGTAACTGGGAATTCAATATAATATTTTACAGTAAAAGGGTGGTGTTATGGCATCCATTGTTCCAAACCTAGTGGAACTCCTTCATTTAAACACAGATAACTTACTTTGTATCTACATGTGATTCTGTTATGTCCTCATAAATTACTTTTTCCACAGCCATACTTTTTTATGGTTAAAAAGACAAGGAACTACTCTCATTGCCAACATGAGAAATGTGCAGGGCTAAACATGAGAAATGCCAGGCTAAATGCTTAGCAAGCTGCTCTGATGGCTCTGATTATGTGTAACCCTTTCTTCAAAACTAGCATTTGTGTGTGCAGAGCTGGGTGTAGGTCAATGAGGAAGGTGTAGGCAGGAGAAAAGCCTTCTGCTGGTTCTGGTCTTTGAGGTGAAAGGCTTTTTTTTACTTAACACATAATATATGTTTCCTCTGAACTTTGGAGGGAGCTATGTCTATTTGGTAAATCTGGGCTATGTAGTAGTTGATATTTGTAGCATTTTTTTTTAGACTGTGTATTTTATAATAAAGAAAAAGTAATAATTTGAAACTGCCCAATCTCCTGGTTAAATAAATCTTCTTATGGCATCTAAGTAGAAAATTTCTGTACATGGAAGACTTGGTGACCACACAATTTTATAAGTGTGTGTCACGTACTGCCTGGAATGGGATGGGTTTCTCAGTAGTGATCAGGTCTTCAGTGGCAAAACCTATAGTTGTAGCCAGTTGTGGAGTGGATTTTTGTTTGTTTGGGGTTTGTTTTGTTTTGTAAAGTTACTGTCTATCATTTGATATCACCCTTAAGCAATGCTTTCTGTGATCTTTTTTTTCTTATTTGGATCTCTAACCTGTAAGACTATTTTGAATCTGAAGTGAAGGGGTGGATGAGCAGTGAAACATTGTGCAGGTTCTGTGTCTTACCAAGTTCCAGGCTTGGCTTCTTTCAGTGTGGGCTCGGAGATGTCTGTCAGAAGCACCAAGCTCAAAGAATTGCAGTACTATTGTAGCAGATTGCTGTTTTTATCAAAACCTTGAGGTACAATTAATCTGCTTTTAACTAGATGTTGCAGAAATCCACAACTGACATAGTCCCTGTGGGATGTCTCTACAGTCAGTGTGGGAGATGGATATCTCCAAAGGGCAATTTATTATTCATTCTAAGTGTTTAAATCAGAGTGAGAAAAATCACACTTCAGAAATGCCAGCTTTGTGTAGTGACAATAGAGGAGTTGACGGGGCCTGATTCAGTTAGAGATCTGTACTTTGTATGTGTTTAAAGTTGCATGAGGTGAATCCCACAACAGGACTTCTGCCATTCTTTGAAGCTGTTTGTGCCAAATATGGGAAAGTAATCTTGATTTCATTCTAAACGTACTATAAAAACACCCTTGGTTTTCAGAGGTTCTGCTTTTCTGTTTGATCTGTGAAGTGCTTAATGAGAGACCTTTGAAGGGGCAGAATAAAATAGCAAAAGAGAACAAGCCGAAAGGGGCCTGACTGACTCAGTGATTTAACAGAACAGGGGAGAATGAGGAAGAGAAGGAAGAGGGTAGCATTAGTACAGTGTGTCACATGAGCGTTCTTTTCTGTGTCAGAAGGAGCAGGGGTGACCCTGGCATGGCACGGTGAGTGAGACGTGGAAACAGAGCAGGGTTTGCGTCCGGAAGCGTCCAGTCTTTGGAGTGCCACGGAACTCAGTAGGGTTGTGTTCATAAATAGCAGGCTTGAAATACATTTTGAATTCCATTGAAAAACATTGTTGTGGAGAAGGACCAAAGTCATTATTGAGGCAATGGGAAGGGAGTAACAGTGTGGTCAGTGCAACGTGGTACCGCTGGGCCTGCGTCCAGCCACACAGCTCATCACAGAACTGCCATAAACTGATGCAGGCTGAGTCTGCAGGGAAGAACTGCTGAAAGAAGCTGCGGCTGAGCATTTTCGTTTCTGGTGTTTTGTTTACTGGAAAATGAACTTTTTTTTTTTCTCCCTAAGACACTTTCCCTGGAAGCTCCTGCTCGAATTAAGAATAAAACCCCTCCTCTGGACTGGCCACAGGAAGGTGAAGTTGTCTTTGAAAATGCAGAGATGCGGTACCGAGAGAACCTCCCTCTAGTACTTAAAAAAGTGTCCTTTACCATCAAACCAAAGGAAAAGATTGGCATTGTGGGAAGGACAGGCTCAGGTAAAGAAAAACACTAAACAGTTATTATTTCTACAGAATGGGAATGGAGTAGAGTGGGGCAGTCGTATTGGCTCTCCTCTGTCTTTTCTGTGTTTGAATAAATTGGTTTTTGCACAGCAGTGGTCCCAGCAGTCTGTCAGTGATGGATTCTGTTGATGTACATACAGAAGCAGGTTCCCTGTAAACAATACTGAAAACAAGTTCCCTTTTAAGGTAGAAGGATATCTTACTATGCCTGAACCAGTATGCTCAGAATGTTTAACACCGCAAGCCACTGACCAGCACAGAATTCTACCTATGACATGCTCATTGCAGCTTATCTGACTCTCTTAAAAGTTTTTTGTACTGATGCTGCAGCCAGATTTGGCTCCAAGTGATCTTGGAAGTCTTTTAATGTGAAAAATAAACTCCCCCTGTTTGTGAGGTGGCTTAAATCAGCTCCAAAATGTAGTTTCTAAATAAGCAATTAATATTGCTGTATTGTGTATATTTGGCAAGATTTTGGTGCTAGGAGTGGGGCAGCATTGCAGGGGTGGCTTCTGTGAGAAGGCACTAGGAGCTGCTCCTACAATTGCTCGGAAGTTTAAATTCTGAACCCCAGCAATTACCAGAATTATTGGCCAGAGTTTCATGGTATTTTAAAACACTTTTGTTACACATAGACAGCTTTTAAAATGCTTTCTCATTTCCATGTTTTTATGACTGTAGAAACACTAGTATTGTTTTTCCTGTTTTGCTTTTAGGGAAGTCCTCCCTTGGAATGGCACTCTTCCGTCTCGTTGAACTGTCTGGAGGCTGCATTAAAATCGATGGAGTGAAAATAAATGATATTGGTTTGGCAGATCTTCGCAGCAAACTCTCAATAATTCCTCAGGAACCTGTGCTGTTCAGTGGCACCGTGAGGTTAGTGAGGCCATAAGAAGGCAAGAACAGCTACGCGGGGTACCGGCTTATATTTGAACTTGAATGGTGAGGTGGTAGTTCTCAGGCTTTTGTTCTCTGTTTTTGAAACAGAAAAAGCACCGCTAAATGGTTTTGACTGGCCCAGTGCAGAAATGGATGTGATCGTGCTCTGTGGAAGTGTTCCCTTCCCTTTAGATTTGGTTTAGGTTTCTATATCTTTGTCTTCCATCGCTACGTTCCTGTTCTTTGACTACTCTAACCCTAGTGTGCTGGGAACATCTAATTTCCTGCCTGGGTGATTTTAGCACACTGCACTTTCGCCATTCATTGCTGAATAAAAATTCTGATGGTTTTCTCCTTCCCCCTCCAGATCAAACTTGGATCCTTTCAATCAGTACAGCGAGGAACAGATCTGGGATGCTTTGGAAAGGACTCACATGAAGGAGTGTGTAAGTATTATGTGCCCAATGAGATATATGTTCATCTGTTGGCTTCCAAAACAACAAGTTCTCTTAGTAGCTTCTTCAGAGACCCTTAGATATTTATTTATTTATTTATCTATATATTTACTTGTTAAATTTCCTCCCGTCATTGTCTGTGGTTTATTTGTCTGATTTTTTTTTTTCCTGATTTTATCAGACTGATTATTTTTCCCCCAAACCTGTCATATTTTGCATATATCCTTTTTTAGTGTATAATGTAACAGAGTGCTGCTTTGCCACCTTTGGACTCCTAGAGTGATACAATACTTCAAGTGATATTTTTCTACATGTGCCTTAGGTGCAAATATAGAAGGCATTCCCATTTGTGGGTGTAATTATCATACGTGCATGTTTATACTGAACTTAAAATTTGCCCTTTGTGAGGCCCTCTGCAACAAGTCTTATTGCCATGACATTTACAATTCCTCCTTTCTTGTAAGTATGGCTGTAGCACCCAGGCTGCAGCAATTCCTGCAGGGACTAGGTTCACTCTCTTCTCTCCGTGAGAAAGTTTATCAGGAGATCCGTATTCAGGCTGATATGATTTTATATGTGACATGCTTTCTTTCTTGATGTGAAATACTTTGTACATAAGTCATTCCAGTGCTGCCTACTAAGGTGGTGCAGCTCTTTTAGCTTAGTGCTGGTGAAGCTCTTGGGAACTGTCACTGAGTCACAGCATTTCAGCTGAACTGTGCAGATCTCATGTTGTATTGCTGTTTTAGCATTAATTGCTTGTTACTAATTTCTCCAAAAGAGCCAGGGAAATATGGACAGCAAAGTGTGATGGATGTTTTGGAACATGGACAAAATCAGATTTGCAGGAGGAGCAACTGTTGGTCTCATGCTATGGAGTTACAAAAGGTCTGTGCAATGCTCTTAAGATTTTTGCCTCTTCTTTACCACACAGGTTGCCCAGCTGCCTATGAAACTTGACTCAGAAGTGATGGAAAATGGGGAAAACTTTTCAGTTGGAGAGAGACAGTTACTGTGCATAGCTAGAGCTTTATTGCGTCGTTGCAAGGTGAGCACAGCAATGGGAGAAATAGCTGGCGTATCAAACTGATATGACTGAGCAAGCCTTTTTTTGGTGCCAGATTCATTCTGTCTGTCAGAAGAATCACATCAGCAATTATTGTCACCCAGAGAGGTACAGGATTAGAACAACTAGGAAGGCATCTGTAGCCAGCTGCTTGCTCCCATAAGGTCCTGCCAACAGAAAGGTATTTAATAGTAGGGTGTCAGACTGGCTTAATCCTTGATAATTTATTCAGAGCGTCCTGCTAGTGGTGAGCATCAGATTCTTTACTTTTTCCACCTGTTTGTTTCAGCCAAATTTTTCCCTTCTACATGGTGCTCCACTAAAATGTAGTCTCCAAGTGGAATTTGAGAGCGTGCTCTGCCAGCAAAGTTAAAAGTTTTGCAAGAGTGGAACACAAATAATAGAGTGAGAAAGGACTTTTGGATTGAGATTGATGAGGATTCCAATTTTAACATCCTTTTTTCCTGAAATGTTGCACACCATATTTTAAGGCTCACTCTGCATCTGTTTTAAAGCCACATCTTGGCTTCCACAACCTCTTCCTGCTTCGCTGATCTAACACAACCAAAATCTAACTGTTCATGGAATGATCTGTTACAAATTAATCCTAAGGTCCAAGTGGTAACCTGTGTGCTAGCAGGAAAGCCTTTTCAGAGTTGCTTCAGCTGACTGGCTGCTTTATCTACTCAGCAGAAGTTACTGTTTTCTCTGCAGTAGCTGCAGACAACAAGTCTAGTTTAGCTTGGACAAGACAGCACTCCAAATCAATTTATATCTGAGTCTGAGAGGAAGGATTAGTTCTTTGCAGCATAAGAGAGCTAGTAAGCCTGGTCAGTACTGACTCATTCCAGAAGGAATGTTACTGCCAAGGATAGCTCACCAGACCAGCTCACCGGTAAAATTTGTATTTGAGATTTCATTGCTGAGTGTTAAACTGAAAGTAGTGGAAACAAGGCCCAGGTCAGAACCCAGACACCTTGTGGCTCTAGAATGTGGCTATAAAATGCAAGTGTGGATCCATAGGGTAAATTTGTTGAAGGCAATTACAGGGTGCTTGTAAAAACTGCTTTTGTGACCACAGCTCTGTGAGGATTGCCTGTTGTGACAATTCTTGGTCGTGGCAGTTCTGCCCACTCTACAGATTTTTATGCCGAGGGAGGGAAAGCGTTACCATGGGTAACAGCCAGGATTATGTGCTGCTTTCAGATTTTGATACTGGATGAAGCAACAGCTGCTATGGACACGGAGACAGACTTACTGATTCAGGAGACTATCAGAGAGGCATTTGCAGACTGCACTATGTTAACAATTGCTCATCGCCTGCATACGGTACTGGGCTCTGATCGGATCATGGTGCTAACGCAAGGACAGGTAAGCAAAAAGACTTCTGTGGCTGCAGTTCCTGTTGCACTCTGGTGGTGCTGTAAGTGTGGGTTGAACTGAAGGAACAGCTAGTACTGCAGGGTAGAAAATTCTTTATGTTCATTCACGTCCTTGGTAACAGTACTCCAAGGGAACTGGTTATTGCCCGATCGTGACAAGATCCAAGAGGGCAAAATTTTTACGCTCCAAGAAAGTACCATTTATGGTACTCTAGTAACAGTTAAAAGTGTTTTTAAATCTCTTTTTGTAGATTAATTCTCAGGTGGATAATAACGTAAGCATCTCTGCCAGGGCTCAGTGGCAGTTTCCCATTACCTTCATGAAGCCCTGCGCTATCAAACAGGCATACAAGAGATACTTTACCCACTTCTCAGGCTTCTATGTGGGAGCCATAAACAGTTAAATCAAACGTAAGAGCATTTTGCAAAGCTCTTGGAGGCAGAGAAGGCAAAACCCCGATAGCATCTGCCTCTGTTTGCCAAAGGCTACTTCCTGCTGGATACTTCCAGTGTCTGAGCTAGTTTGCGGGATCCCAGGTTGCAGCATGTACCTATAAGCGTGCGCTTCCACTGCCTGTTGTCTCATCTAAGGAGAGGTGCCATGTTTTGGCTTCTTTGCCACTGCGCCACAAGTCCAAGGGGTGGGAATCCACTTTTCTGCTGGATTTTACTGACATACTGTACTTCCTTGTTTGCTTTTAGGTAGTGGAATTCGACACGCCGACTGCCCTTCTGGCCAATGAGAACTCGCGCTTCTATGCTATGTTTGCTGCTGCGGAGAACAAGGTTGCTGTCAAGGGCTAAAATCCAGGGCAAAGTCACTTTAATTTTGGAGAGCTACACACCCTGCCTGTGGCAGGCCAGCTCTTCCTCCTCCTCCAAGCAGATTATTGCCTTTTCATCTTTTAATTTTTAGCACAATGTGTCAAGCTAGAGTTTTTAAAACTGTGTCAGAAGAATTCTTCATGGGTTTATTATTGTATTTATTCCATAATCATATTACTAATTTTTTGTTATTAAATGCACTCTACAAATGGCTCAGGGAGCCATAGTTATAAATGTATCAGAGGCCTATAATGAAGCTTTATACATGTAGCTATATCTATACATAATTCTGTATATAGCCTATATTTACAGTGGAAATGTAAGCTGTTTATTTTATATTAAAATAAGCACTGTATTAATAACAGTGCATATTCTTTTCTATCGTTTTTGTACAGTTTACAGTAGCAGAGATCTGGCTTTGTTATTGGACTGTATCAGACACCACCTTGTCTTTTACAGTTGGACTTTTCCTAGTGCTGGATTTTCTGCGTGTCTGAGTGGAAGTGAAGCTTTGCAATAGTGTCCTTATTGTCACATCTTTGTTGTCTAGCGCAGGGGAGAAGAGCTCTGTGGTGTAACTATTGCATTGTAATTTATCTAAGCTATTTGGAGCATCGCTAATGTTCACCACGGCAGCAGCTGCTGCTTCCCATGATGCTTTCACAAAGCAGGGTTTTTAGTGATCTCCTGAGTGGAGAAACCACTTCTGGGTCACCTTAAGGCCTTGTATTTTCTCAGTGTCCTGATACAGTTTTTCTTACTGTATCAGCAGGGTTTATTTTAATGCAAGCAAGCCCAAAACCTCTTCCTGCTTCGCTGATCTAACACAACCAAAATCTAACTGTTCATGGAATGATCTGTAACAAATTAATCCTAAGGTCCAAATGATAACCTCTATGCTAGCAGGAAAGCCTTTTCAGAGTTGCTTCAGCTGACTGGCTGCTTTATCTTGAAGCTGCTAACACTCCTCAGATGTTTAGGTTGGCTTTCACTGGCATGGGTAACACTAACTTTGTTCTGCTCACTTATACTAAGGTTAAACAACATCTATATTCCCTGTTTCTTTATTGCACACTTGTTAAGGAAACAGTCCCCCACTCCACGTCTTCTGGAACTTTAAACAGGTTCTTGTGGACCAGGATGTAACACTGGTGTAGGACATCGTTTTCTTACTGTAAAGAGACCTACCTCAGGTTACGAGGTCCTGTGTAGTACGTTGCCATGATCACTGTAACACCATCCCTGTTTGACGGGACCTGTGGCCCGGGTGGGCACGGTCGCTCCTATAATAGCCGTGACTTACTGAATGGTCAGCGTTGCATGTCTTTGTCAACTTGGACATTTTGTAGCCTTAGCATGTTTGCAAAATGTCTCTTTGAGGCAGAAATCTGAAAAGTAAATAAAACTATTTTGGGTTTTGTAAATTGTATTGGCTTAAGTGGTTTGTTTTGGGCACATAAATCGCTTCTCAACTTTTTGAGCCCTAGGGGACAGTTTTTGCAGGCTGGGCTTTTTTTGTCTTGTCTATACACTATGGCCTGATCTTTCTTCCTTCAGAGTGGAAATGTTTCTTTATAAAATGTAGCGGGTGATTTTTGTGCCTTCCAGCATGGAGGTGGCTTATGATGTATTTGTGTTTGTGCTGAGTAGTACAGTGAGTAATAATTTATAGTGTAAGTATTCAAGCCAAGTAGCAAGGGTGGAGGTCAGACGGAATACAGATCCTTCTTAGACTCAGATATTTTTCCACTTTCTTTACCTGCAAGCATTACTGTTTATAATGTGACATGACTGCAGAGTCAGAACAACAAGCAATTCTACCTACCAGTACCACAGGCAAATCATGGCATTAACAGAGCTGAGACTGGAGCTGGAAGACAGCACAAAACCCCATCATTTCTCCTGGTTGTTCTTTAATAAGTCTTGTCCTAAGCAAGAATTAACTAGCACAGATCTTAGCCTGTTCACAGGCCTGGACCCAGGCTTACTCTCTGTCAGGGACTGGCTGCCATTTTGCTCAGCACTGCTCAATTCAAGGAGCAGTGTGACTCTGTGGTGTGGTTTAGGAAAGGGAGAAGTCACAAGCCTCTCTTCAAAGAACACCCAGCTGAGTGGGACGTTCTTTTTTTGATCAGTAACCTGAGGGCAAAAAGAAACTGGGCAGAGGCACAAGGGACCTGGGGTGGTGATAGGCCAAAGAGGCAATGCCTGCTTCTTCCCTGGAAGTAGAGCTGGGTCAAATGTGAAGCTGAAGGCTGGATACCTTAAGGGGAGAGAGAGAGAGAATGGGAAATGCATCTGCCTAAGGCTCTGATTAAAACAGTTTAGTCAGTTGTCATGTGCAACTATCAAGCACAGGATTGTCTTGGGTCTTGCAGCATTTCAGTATTTCCCCTAAATAAAAAAAGTTAATGTGTCTAGTCCTCAAGTGGCGCTGGGGTCAGAGTGTGGCTTCGTTTTGCAGCTAAGGCTGAGCTAATGGCACTCTGATCCTGACCTTGTCCTCCTTCTTCTTCCAGGCTGGGAGTTCCTTCTGCTTTCCTGAAGCCAGCACTGGCTCTGGCCTGGTCCAGCAGTGACCCAGTTCAGAAAGCTTAACTTGCAGAAAGTTCA